ATGATTCAACGTCACCTTGAGAATTTCTCGTCAGATCACCATGTGATTCCTGACGTGCAATTCGGTTTTCGGTCTGAACATAGTGCAGAGCTACAGGCGGTTAGGCTAGTGGAATGAGTAACCAGAGGATTCACCCTTAACGAAAGTACTGGCATCTTGATTTTGGATGTCTCAAAAGCATTTGACAAGGTGTGGCACGCGGGCCTCCTGTGTAAATTAATCCAAAAGGGCTTCCCTTTTTGGCTTCTAAAACTACTGAAATCTTTCCTTGGAGGTAGAAAATTTCGTATCAAAATTGACAATGTCCTGTCGACAACACTGCTGATTACAGCCGGCGTCCCTCAGGGATAGGTCCTTGGACCTATCCTTTACTCACTGTACATCCATGACGTCCCTAGTCTATCTCTCTGCTGACGATACTGCATTGGTGGCTCAGTTGTGGTCTGGTCACCTAGTCCATGACAGGCTGCAAAGTGCGATGGAGGAAGGATTAGAACGGGCGGATCGGTGGCTAATTAAAATTAACCAGGCAATCTACTGTACAAAAAGACGTCGCGGATGGGATGACTTGGCGAAACAATATAAAAGCGCTAAAAACTAAATTCCAAATTACGTTTCGACAGCTTTACCCACTATTATGTAAACACAGCAACCCTCAGTTGCGTGAGTCAGTGGAATACACAGTCGAGCAAGTTCGTAAGCACAAAAGGTTGCGGCTCGCACTGTAATCAAAATTAATTCGTAAACTTAGAACAACCAAAATTGGAGCATTTTGACAAAATCGAAATTTTTTAGAACATATCAGAATCTGTGAAGTGATTTTAATAATGCCTAAACGCTGCCTATCCTTAAAGATTCTCTTCTTCCCCTTTGCTCGCGTTCTTCCTTCTCTCCTTTCCTTCCCTTTTTTCCTTAAAATTGTCTGGTTTCTGGCTACCAGACCCGACAGACCTACAAACTGACACTGTCACTCAAGAGCTAAGGTCCCACGGACCGCTCTGACGATGAATTGACTTGACTTGACTAAATTTCTTCAGAATTCGCATCTATAGCAACCGTAGCCTCAGTGGCTGCTAGTGTTAGTTAAACGTTTTTCGCATACATCACATCGTCTCTGGTAGTGTCGGCTAGGGCAGGGCTGTACTCAACTTCAGATTAAATTAACGAGCGGCCTTGTTTTTGTACGTGTTGTTGACGCGACGTTGTGAGAACTTGCATCAAGTTAAGCTTTTTGCCGACATAGATTTTGGTGGCTGGTTGGCTGTTAGTATAGTTCATCGTGTGTAAAGGCATTTTGTGCATGGTCCTCGCGATATTGCTGGTCAAAATAGAAGCGGCAATATACAGGGTGTTTTCAAAGTTGTCATTTATTTTAGCTGCCTGTAGTACTCGTCAGAAGGAGTTGTATACCAAATATCGCCTATATATAAGTTGCATAATAAAGGAAATAGTAACAGATTAAACATTTATACAAATAAGAATGGTGTTACACAGATTTTTTGACCACTGCTGTGTAATATTTTAGCGTTTTTCATTTACTACTCTTATCGTTTATCTAAATTTGCCGCAGCATGCAGGTTGTACGCAGAAAGGTTTGCTAAGAAATCATCCGACTTCACGGATGTTTGTAAATTTAGTTATCAGGCTTCGTGACACAGGATATTTAAAATAGGAACGAGCAGGTCACGCTTAAGACCTGCTCAATGTGAAATGTTACAAATTGAGGAAGACATTTTAGAAATGGTCCAAGACGACCAAACAATGAGTACTAGTGCCATAGCAGCTCAAGTTGACGTTTCTCGTAGGGGAAGACATTACGACAAGAACCGTATTATTTCCACAACAATCATCTTTAGGCAATAGAAAATCCGCATGCTACAAAAAGAACTCACTTTCAACATAGATTGCCATTACATGTCCGGGCAGGCGTGGTAAATAGTATACTTATTGGACCCCACTTTTTCCACAGCGACTGACCAGTGAAATTTATTCAGCTTTTCTTTGACACAATCTGCCACAATTATTAGAAGATGTTCCTCTAAATGTGAGACAGAATATGTGGTTCCTACATTGTGTGTTTTAGACGAAAAGTTCAGGACATCGAAATAATCAGTTTCCGAATAGATGGATAAGGCGCAATCGGATCCATTTCATGACCTGCTCGCTCCCCAAATCTCACGTCTTGCGAGTTTTTTGTGTGGGGCTATTTGTTAGAAAGACACAGGAAAGATCCACAGTTCTTTGTAAAAATTTTATGGTCGGATGAGACCACATTTAAGAAAGATGGGTACATGAACCTGCATAACTTACACGAGTGGCACGTAGCAAACCCACATTTGATGAGCGAAGATAAATCTCAATACCGCTTCAAGATAAACCATTGGACAGGAATTTTAAATGGTAAAATAATCGGTCCGTTTGAGTTCCCAGAAACTTTGACTGCTGAAGTTTATTTGGATTTTTTGAAAAATCATGTACAAAATTTATTGGTGGACTTGCCACTGAGTATTTACAGGGACATGTGGTTTCAGCATGATGGCTGCCCAGCGCACTATGCACTCTCAGTGAGAGAGTATCTCGATCAAAACTTTCCAGGCAGATGAATAAGGCGGTCTGGTACAATACCGTGGCCAGCCCGATCACCTGATTTCAATCCTTTAGATTTTTTTACTAAGGAACTGTAAAAGAAAAAGTGTATTTCAAGCCGATTCAAAATGTAGCTGAGCTACGGCAAAGACTATTGGAAGCAGCTGAGTTTGTTAATAACCGTGGATTCACTCGTTTAATAACCCGATCTTTTTTAAGAAGATGTCGAGCGTGTATTGCGGCTGAAGGAAAACAGTTTAAGCATTTGCTGTAAAGGTAAATCATCATCAGCAGCATTTTGATGCCCACTGTTGTGCAAACAGTTATCCTTAAGGGTCCTTGTGCGTTTTCATAATCGCTGTTTAATTAGGAAATTTTGAAAAATTTTCATCAGTTTTTCTTCAAATAAAAATTGTGCAAAAGTTAACGAGTAATCTTCTAAGTGTTATACCATTTTGAAATCCTTATTAAATGCGCCAACTTTTAAGGTTACTTGCCAAGCTCTGGTAGTACATTTTTTCCAGTACAGCCAGTTAAAGTTGAGCAAAGTTTTACTTTGGTATACTTGGTTGGGAAATAAGTGGCAATTTTTCCTGAACGAGAAAAGTTGGCAGTAAGGTTGAGACATCAGTTTGAAGATGCATTATTCATCATTACATTGTAAAAATTAAATCCAAAAAAAGTTAATATTTGTAGTAACAGGAGTTGACAGACTGCCGTAGGGTGTGAAATTTCTATATTTTTTTCAAAGACCTATAATTTTCAAAACACATAAGTACATAAAATTTTTTTAAATATTTTTCTGATAGCTGTTATGACTTTGCCTATCACTCGGTTTCGACTTCTGGGACGCCCTGTATAGATGATTTTTGGTATATCAACTTCTTTTGACTAGTTCTGTTGAAATAAATGTCTCAACTCTGTATATTACAATCGATATGTTGTCAAAATAGACTTCACTGGCATTTCAAACTAAAATATAATAACGTTGATGAGAACATTATATAGTTAATTACAGGAAACTAGTTAAAACACAATTAAACGACTCATATGTAGTTCGATTATCCAATCGATAACGCTAACCTGACATGACATTTAAGTCAAGTCCGAATAAGTTCAACGTATATGGTACATGTGATTGTCCAAATATTTATTTTAATATAATGTGTTTTAATAAGCACTAAAAAGAATACAACTCGTGATCCTTGTACACTAAACGTTATACGAGCCCCTTCCCACTTCATTTGGCCCAACTATTGAAATCTTAGTTTTTTTCTTATCAAACACAAATAATAAAAATGTAGCAGGGTGTTATTGATTTAAAATATAACTATGAATATTTTGATAATATATAGTAGAAAACACCAACTTTATCACTCCCTAATCAAATTTGCAGCATAAAAATAACACATGTTGCAATTACAGCATATCAACCTATTTCCATTTCAATGCAAATTAAGTGTATAACGCATAGGTGGCTGTGAAAAATAAAAGCCATGACAATTGTTTTTATTAATCACAGCTGTCAGAATATGGGCAGAGGAAAGGTTATTAGTGAAAAAATTCGGTTACTGATAATTAATTTTTTTAATTCTGGGAAATCAAACTCAGAAGTTGCAACTTTTTTAGACTTATCGCGGTACAGTGTGAGACATATTGTTAGAAGATATAACGTAACTGGTTTAGTTAATATTAAGCCACGATATGTGAAAAAAAGTAATATCACAAATGCCGACCGAATATTATTAAGAAGAATAATCGTGAAAAACAGGCGTGTAATGTACCACTTTTGAAATGGGTTTCTAGCCGTCCAGATCTGTCACCTATTGAAACTTTGTGGCACGCGATGAAAAAGGTTCTACGACAACATCCTGCTCGTACAACCACTGAACTGAGACAAAAGCTTCAAGAAATATGAGTTTGTTTCGCACCAAATTTTTGCCAAAACTTGGTTAACACTCCCCAAAGAATTTCAGCCGTAATAAAAAATAAAGGTGATGTTACCCAATGGTAATCTTTCAATTGTTGCTTTGTTAACTTCGTGCATTTATTCGCACATTGTTCATTTGTTCAGATGTTCTACTAGTTATAGGTCTAAGTGATTTCAAATATGTATTTTTTATGACTAGAGTGTATCTAAAATGTTTTTGAGAAAATAAATTGCTTTAGAAGTAAATAGTTTCGTCATGTTTAGTTTATAAAGGCATATTTTGGTACAAATCTTGAATTGGACCAACTGAAGTGGGAAGGGGCTCGTACTACGAGTATTTCCACTTAGTATCTAAGAAACCAGTATTATTAAAAATAGAGAGAGTGCTTTGCACTACTTTCAAACGCATCTAGGCTTCTCTCAAGACAAGTCTTCACATATTTGTAAGTTTGCTCAAATGCAACTGCAACTGTTTTTGTTTCAGGTTGGGTGGATGAAAGCAGACGACCAAACAATTCTCGCTCTGCACACCCGAGTGATTACTCATAATCCTCGGATCACAGTCAGCCATGACGACAACCTGAACACGTGGCAGTTGCGGATTAGACAGTTGAAAGAGTCCGATAGAGGCTGCTACATGTGTCAGATCAACACGGGCGAGATGAAGAAACAGATCGGTTGCATCGACGTTCACGGTAAGTGATGTTTATTTTTTTTTGAAGTTGTAGGTTAGGGTTAAACAGGAGATACATTTCATAGAACTCCATGTCATCCAGTGGCATTTTTAAAATTACAGGTCAAAATAGCAATATACTTTATACGTCTTCCTGTTGACAGTTCATTTGTCTTTGCCGTTATTACCCAGTGCATTGCAACAACGTCCTGAATTTTAAAATGGCGGTCTAAGCTGTAAGTTGTATGTGTTGCTGATAATTACATTGGGTTCTTGTCTCAAATACACTTACTTGAGATTCAAAGCTAGAAATTAGTTGCGCATCCACTTTTTCTTATCCATTCTGGAAATTACTTATAAAAATTTGCTGAATTTCAAAAATAAGAAAGATAAGAAATAAATATATTCACTGTACACTGTCGAATTACAAGCCATATACATGCTTACAGTAATTACACACAACGCGGGCGTGGTGATGATTTCCCGTAATTCTCCTCAGTTTTTCGTAATTTATAACTTTGAACATAACCTCTCTTCAGAAAGCACAACACATAAATAACCCGTCATATTCGACATATTCAGTAATAATTTTCTCACACAGCGAATATGACTGATTTTATACACATGCAGACCGATACACATAATCATCCAGATGCGATCTTGCTATTCAACCAACTCTCTTCTCAGAGATAAAAACTACAGAAACGGATCACTCAGCCTCACAAAACAATGCAACCAGTAACGCGTAGTTTAGCTGCGTGATTCCTCCATAGTTCACAATGATCCTAGTGAGCAAACGTGGAATGACTGTTTGCGCCCTAAAAACTACATAGTCTGCAAGTTGACATTTTATTTTTTTTTGACATTTTGTAGGTTCTTTACATGATAGCCGTATCGGTTGACTGTTATGCAATCTTCGAATACTTAATAATGTACCTGCATTACCTATGGAACCGAAATACGAAATACGAGAAATAGGACTTCGATACCTCAAGGCATCATGATGTCTTGTGAAAAAAAAGTAAGTCACAACAGTCTGGCCTTAAGGTGGGATGCGTTTTTGATCCAATAACAAACCATAACAGAAAACCTAAAAGCAAAAAGCTCATGGTTTATCAGACGAGTTGGAGAATATGAGTAATATTTTCTTTTCCAGAATTCTCAATCAGATCGGGACGCAATCTATAAAGGAGCTAGAGAGGAAGTTGTTTACTTTCATGTAGGCTGATTCCTTTACCTTCTTTTTGTAATTGTTATCCTCTTTAAGCAATATTGATACTTTTTTCCATTTTACCCAATGATTTGTTTTCCATACATATTCCCTGAATAAAAGTTTCGTTCTCTGTGTGCCTGTCAAAGAGAACGGTACGACGAATATGGTAAAACAAATGCATCAAGGTAACTAGCAATTGCTTTGAATACTATTATATTGAAGCAGTAGAGCGTGATCTTAATAAGAGCATATAAAGCATCTCGTTAAATAAAGAAAATACAAAGAGGCATCAAGTTACTTATCAAAGGTGAACAGAGGATACAACTGTACCTCTTATTTTGTCGCATGGGTAAGTATTCCTAAATAACGGGTGATTCATATAGAGGTACTTTTTTGGTGTGGCTGTAATTGCTTATGGCGCATGCGTCATGACAACTAATGTGACATTTTTTGTGTCAGTATTGTTCGACATTTCATCATGGAAAGACTTAGTGCTGCACAGCGTCTGCAAATAATTCAGCTGTACTACGAAAATCAACGTTCTGCGAGAAGTGTGTTTCGTGCACTTAGAGCAACTTATGGTGTACATAATCGGCCCAACGAACGCACAATTCGCCGTACGGTCGAAAAATTTGAAACCCAATTTTCATCATTGGATAATACCCGACCAAATAGACCACATCCAGTACACAGTGAAGAAAATATATGTAGCTGCGGTAGCTGAGAGTATACGTGAGGACCGTGAAGAATCGATTCGGCGCCGTTCTCAATAGCTTGGCTTGTCGTATTCAACAACTTGGCATAGATTACGTAAGAATCTTAATTTGAAACCATACAAAATTCAACTCGTTCAAGAGTTGAAGCCGGCCGACCTTCCAAAGCGTCATCGTTTCAGTCTTTGGGTTCATGCACGGCTTGAAGAAGATCCGATGTTTCCGAGCAAAATTTTGTTTAGCGATGAGGCCCATTTTTGGCTTAACAGCTACGTTAATAAACAAAACTGTCGTATTTGGGGTGAAGAGCAACCCGAAGTGGTTCAAGAGCTGCCATTACATCCCGCGAAAACAACGGTTTGGTGTGGTTTAAGGGGCGGTGGAATCATCGGTCCCTATTTTTTTAAAAATAAGGCCGGTCAGAAAGTAACTGTGAATGGTGCTCGTTACCGCGCCATGATAACGGATTATTTGCTGCCTGAAATTGAAGCCCGTAATCTCGATGACAGTTGGTTTCAAAAAGACGGCGCCACTTGCTACACAGCCCGTGCAACCACGGCTTTATTGCGAGAACATTTCGATGAACGCTTAATTTCACGATTGGCCACTTAGATCATGTGATATCACGCCTCTAGACTTTTTCCTTTGGGGCTACGTTAAGTCCAAAGTCTACATTGATCAGCCCAATACGATTGAGGAATTAGAAGCCAACATTACGCAGGTCATTCGCCAAATTCCAGTCGAAATGCTCCAACGTGTCATCGAAAATTGGAACTTTAGAATGGACCATCTCAACCGCGGTCAGTTCCAACATTTGAAAGAAATACTATTTAAAAAATAAATGTCAAAAACAGTTCTTTTCTTTAATAAAAAAGATATGATAAGAAAAAAGAATTTTGTTATTTTATTTTGTTGCTGAAAAAAGTATCTATAAATGAATCACCCATTACTTTCATAATCGAAACTAATTGTAACTGTGCGGTAACGACTGTTGTTCAACACGTACTATTTTCAAAAGATGTGTGCTGGTCCTATTAATTTTTTATTTTATAGATTGATAAATTCCATTTCAAACCGAGAGAACACTTATTATATATCGCAGGCCCATAATATGAGAATGTGGTGTGTGCTGACGGACTTATTGTAGTTTTCCCATCTATTTTCCCGCTGAAGATGAATCTAAAGTCGGTATTGATTATTCACGTAATTTAGGCATGCAGATCACAGTAGTAGGTAGTTTTTGAAGGACGTCTATACCTTCATATTTTCCCATCGACCCCCAGATTTATATTCAACGGAAAAAAAATAGATGTGAAAACATAGTGAGAACCCAAGACACAACACTTTTTATTTTTTTTGTCGACCTGAAATATGATTTGTTATAAAAAAATAAAAAGTACATAGGAAAAATACAGGGTGATGCCACATATTTCTGTTAAGGGGTGATAGATTAGGTCAAAAGCAACGGATTCTGCCCTATAATGTCCTATCTAGAAGTTAACCGTTTTTGATTTATTTGAATTTTATTTTTTATTCCGATTTCAGATGGTTAAATTTGAAATACAAAAAAACTACATGTTTGATTTTGAGTTTTTTGTTATCGTCGCATAGCGGACATTTCCATAGTTCATATTCGATAAAAAATGCAATTTTCTGTAAAAAATCTCCTAGTAATGAAATGTGCAAATTATGTAAGTAATACCTCTATCTAACAAGCTTTAATTTGAGGTATAAAAGTTGCACCAGCTCAAGTACAAAGACATAAAATTAAAAAAAGATGAGTAAAGTTGTACGAACGATAATTACGTAGGATAAATAAAAGGCTTTTATTTTAATTACAGTTTTATTTAATTACATTTCCTTTAGTATTTTACAGATTCTGCTCAAATTGTAATCCCCTGTTACGAATACACGCCCGCATTCTCTTACGTAATTCACTTTTGTTAACTCTAGTTGCTAAGCGGCTTTTTATTTGGTCAGCTGCACTGATTATCCTTGTAATTATTTCATCGCGCGTTGGTACGGGCGAAACATCGTACATATGTTCCCACACATAGTAATCCATCGGTATGAGATCTGGGCTTCCAGCTGGCCAGCCAATGGGCCCGCCTCTGCCAATCCATTAATTTGGAAATTTAGAGTCTAAATACGCCTGTACTAATCTACTGTAGTGTGCGGGACAGCGGTCGTGCTGGAACCGCATATTTTGTCTCGTCGCCAATGGGACGTCTTCCATTAATGGAAACAAGTGAATTTTCAAGAACTCTTCATACACTTCTCCATTTAAATTGGCGGGCAGAAAATGAGGCCCAATTAAATATCCATCAATGATGCCCATCCACAGATTGACTGAAAACCGGCTCTGAGATCTCGTCGGTCTTATTTTTCGGGGGTTTAAAGCTTCTTTATCAGCCCAGTAATGAACATTATGGACGTTAGTGATCCCGTCCTTATCAAACTTCGATTCATCGGTCCATAGAATTTTCTTAAAATAGTCTGGATCTTCTGTATCTGCATGTAACATGTACCTGCAGAAATCAAATCGTCTTGCAGGATCGCCCTCTTCAATCACATGCACAGGCGTGTAGTGATAAGGGTATAATCTTGCAGTATGCACAGTAAACCATACTTTGTATTGTCATATACCCAACTGAGCAACCACAATGCGCGTAGACGTAGTAGGGTCCTCCTGAAACACACGAAGGATTTCCTCTTCATCTTCAGGAGGATAGACCCGGGGTCGACCAGCATCACTATGTTGCCTTTGAACACGTCCCGTTTAGCGGATGCGCCGATACACAGAGTCAAACACAGTAACATGAGGAGTTCGGCCATTCGGGAAACGTTGCCGATATTCACGGCGGGCAGCTGCAGAATCGCCGTTACAAAGACCATAACAGAACATTACGTCTGCGTATTCTTCATTTGTAAAAGTTTGGCCGTGCTCGCTATGGCGAGGTCCTGGCGGATCTTCTGCGTCAGCCATGATGATAAAGAAACCAGTCGAAATGAACTGGGAAACTCAAAAATAATAATCGTGCGTAAAACGTGTGCGCGTACGCAGTAGTTGATACCAACTAAACCTAATTCTCACTC